ATCCAGAACTGCCGCATAAAGGTGTTATTTACCCCGAAGTCCTCTCTTCCCGGGGAGGGGAGAACATCGTTGTGTATATATATGTCTCGTAGGTCCTATAATATGTTCGTCTTTGTCTTGTGTCTCTGCTCTCAGCCAGTCTACATAAAGCCACTTCAGACAGGAAGCACCGAGTCCCAATCACCGGAGCCAGGACGCAGCGAGTCGGCGTGGACAGGCCACTGGACCCGGGGCCCTCTGGAGCCCACAGACGAGGTGATATGGGGCCCTCTGGAGCCCACAGAGCAGGTGAGGTGATATCAGGGCCCTCTGGAACCCACAGAGGAGGTGATATGGGACCCTCTGAAGCCCACAGAGGAGGTGATATGGGGCCCTCTGCAGCCCACAGAGGAGGTGATATGGGGCCCTCTGGAGCCCACAAAGGAGGTGATATGGGGCCTTCTGGAGCCCACGAAGGAGGTGATATGGGGCCCTCTGGAGCCCACAGAGGAAGTGATATGGGGCCCTCTGCAGCCCACAGAGGAGGTGATATGGGGCCCTCTGGAGCCCACAAAGGAGGTGATATGGGGCCTTCTGGAGCCCACGAAGGAGGTGATATGGGGCCCTCTGGAGCCCACAGAGGAAGTGATATGGGGCCCTCTGGAGCCCACAGAGGAGGTGATATGGGGCCCTCTGGAGCCCACAGAGGAGGTGATTATGGGGCCCTCTGGAGCCCACAGAGGTGATGATATTGATGCGGATAGTCTGCCGGTGATCTCACATCCCGTATTATTGTGTCTCCTCCAGGAATCCCCGCCGTAAATGAACACATCAGTGGTCTGGAGAAGCTCCTGAAGGGAGTACCAACGTTTACCCCACCGAATGCCCCCAGCGGGCAGAGGCGTAGCGGGAGCTGGTGGTTTAAAAGCACGTCCCCTCATGGTAACGTATGGAGCTTAGCTCCGCCTCTTCTCCTTATTCCTCACTTATTAAGATGCTGCACGCTGTCCCTGTTGTAGGTACGGGCCAATCAGATTGCAGCTGTTCTTTCTCTAGCTGAGGAGACAAGATTGTTAGAGGTGAGAAGAGTGGGAGATGTTCTGTAGTTCTGTGACAACTCTGCCCAGTCCATAGATACAGTAAGGTAAGTGAGCGTTGTCACCCCAGTACAGGATCACCAGTAATGCAGCCACCACCTCTGCGGACTGCTAAACTACAGCAATCACGCCAGCGTTCTTCATTCGGTGGGCGGGATTATTAAAATGAACCTGTCTTCTGCCTACTTGGCTCCGCCCACTGCCATTCTCCAATGCGTTTTCAGCTCGGTGCCACTCATCTAGTTACCGAGGACGCTGGGAGCTGAAAAGCCTTAACCATGAACACAGATCATTCCTCCTGCAGCTTTAAGAGCGGTGCAGGGTTCCGGTTCTCCTGTTACTGCCCACAGGACCGCCCACCGCGCCAACGGGACTGCTCTGAGCCCGCCCACATAAGCTATGTGCAGGTTGAAGGATCATGGGAAATGTAGTCCTGCAGCATTCCCTATGGGTGGGATGTAGGAAGTGCTGCAGAGCCTTCTTCCTGGCGGCCTCAACGATGATGTCACTGGCCATTGAACGCCGATGAGCAAGTTGGGGGAGGACCAGAGAGAAGACTGAACGTGAGCTCTAAGGTCCACTTTGACAATGGATTGTACAATGTCCTCAGGGTGAGGTCCGTGTTTACCATCCCCCATAGCTAGAAGCCGCCATATTGGATTGTACAATGTCCTCAGGGGGAGATCCGTGGTCACCATCCCCAATAGCTAGAAGCCACCATATTGGATTGTACAATGTCCTCAGGGGGAGATCCGTGGTCACCATCCCCAATAGCTAGAAGCCACCATATTGGATTGTACAATGTCCTCAGGGGGAGATCCGTGGTCACCATCCCCAATAGCTAGAAGCCACCATATTGGATTGTACAATGTCCTCAGGGGGAGATCCGTGGTCACCATCCCCAATAGCTAGAAGCCACCATATTGGATTGTACAATGTCCTCAGGGGGAGATCCGTGGTCACCATCCCCAATAGCTAGAAGCCACCATATTGGATTGTACAATGTCCTCAGGGGGAGATCCGTGGTCACCATCCCCAATAGCTAGAAGCCACCATATTGGATTGTACAATGTCCTCAGGGGGAGATCCGTGGTCACCATCCCCAATAGCTAGAAGCCACCATATTGGATTGTACAATGTCCTCAGGGGGAGATCCGTGGTCACCATCCCCAATAGCTAGAAGCCACCATATTGGATTGTACAATGTCCTCAGGGGGAGATCCGTGGTCACCATCCCCAATAGCTAGAAGCCACCATATTGGATTGTACAATGTCCTCAGGGGGAGATCCGTGGTCACCATCCCCAATAGCTAGAAGCCACCATATTGGATTGTACAATGTCCTCAGGGGGAGATCCGTGGTCACCATCCCCAATAGCTAGAAGCCACCATATTGGATTGTACAATGTCCTCAGGGGGAGATCCGTGGTCACCATCCCCAATAGCTAGAAGCCACCATATTGGATTGTACAATGTCCTCAGGGGGAGATCCGTGGTCACCATCCCCAATAGCTAGAAGCCACCATATTGGATTGTACAATGTCCTCAGGGGGAGATCCGTGGTCACCATCCCCAATAGCTAGAAGCCACCATATTGGATTGTACAATGTCCTCAGGGGGAGATCCGTGGTCACCATCCCCAATAGCTAGAAGCCACCATATTGGATTGTACAATGTCCTCAGGGGGAGATCCGTGGTCACCATCCCCAATAGCTAGAAGCCACCATATTGGATTGTACAATGTCCTCAGGGGGAGATCCGTGGTCACCATCCCCAATAGCTAGAAGCCACCATATTGGATTGTACAATGTCCTCAGGGGGAGATCCGTGGTCACCATCCCCAATAGCTAGAAGCCACCATATTGGATTGTACAATGTCCTCAGGGGGAGATCCGTGGTCACCATCCCCAATAGCTAGAAGCCACCATATTGGATTGTACAATGTCCTCAGGGTGAGATCTGTGGTCACCATCCCCCCATAGCTAGAAGGCGCCATATTGGATTGTACAATGTCCCCAGGCTGAGGTCCGTGTCCACCATCCCCAATAGCTAGAAGCCGCCATATTGGATTGTACAATGTCCCCAGGGTGAGGCCCGTGGTCACCATCCCCCATAGCTAGAAGGCGCCATATTGGATTGTACAATGTCCCCAGGGTGAGGTCCGTGGTCACCATCCCCAATAGCTAGAAGCCGCCATATTGGATTGTACAATGTCCTCAGGGTGAGGTCCGTGGTCACCATCCCCCATAGCTAGAAGCCGCCATATTGGATTGTACAATGTCC